GGAATTGCAGATCTTGTGATGCGATAAAGGCCATGGGCGGGAATGAAACCCTGAGGATCTAAGGCTGAGAGAGTCAGGAGTGAAACCATGAAACCATTTTCCTCTGGGTTGCCTTATTTAAGCGTTCTGGTGCTAGAGACATTCTGCATTTCCAGTTGAAGGAGTAGAAATGTTGTTGGATAGTGGGGTGATTTCCGGATCCACCCCCCCCCCCCCTCCTCCAATAAGTGGCAATAACTGAAAAGAGGGCCACAGTCGTGATGTATCTCCGTCAAACTGATGATGGGCCGCAAGTAGTTCAGTGTCATTGTGCTCGATAAATATGCCTGAGTTTGAATCCTAAATCGTTATTAAGTTGTTTACTATTTAGGATTCAAACTCAGGCATATTTATTGAGTTATCAACACTTCATGGGTGTACTGTTCTGCCACATGGTCCTGGTCGGATTTCTCTTTTCTGACGTTTTTTAGTTCTAATGGTGTTCATCTTTGTCTGCCTGTGGGGTCTCGCATTCTCTGGAAATGATGGTCAACGATTATTGACAATTGCCAATTACACAAAAAACAGGACCGCCAGGAACGGGGAAGACAAAGACTGTGACGACGATGCTTCAGGGTCTCTGTGCTATCAACGAGCGAGTGCTTGTATGTGCACCTACGAATGTAGCCATCTCTGAGCTCTGTGACAGGCTTGTCCGTACTGTAGAGGTTACAGAGAATCAGGGTGAGGGACTGGCCCTCAGAGATATTGTCCTTGTTGGGAACGAGGAGCGGCTAGATGTTGACCCAAAGGGGCTTGTTTCGAAAACTTTCTTGCCTCGTAGGAAGGAGAGGATAATGATGGCGATGTCGACCAAGAAAGGCTCCATGTCATGGGCTCATGACCGTTTGAGGAATCTGGTGCATTCCCCAGAGAAGGAATACGAGAGACACCTGAACGGTGCAGCAGACACGGAAACGGGTGATGATGGTGGCAGCAGCAGACATGACGAGTTGGAAGGCAAAGTCAGCAATGACAGCTGCAAGAAACAAGGGATGGACAATGTCAGACAGGGGCATGATGCTGAACAGAATGGGGGAAACACCCCTTCGTTGGCAGAGTTCTTTGTTGAGGCCATCAGAGAAGCACTAGACAGTATTGCTGGAGGTTTGGAAGCCATGCTAGAGCTGCCGTCGGTGGTGCTGCCCACAAACAAGCGTTTTGAGATATTGGCGTTAAGAGAGGAAGTGAAGCAATTCATGTTGGAGCATTATCCAACCTTTGGGATAGCAACAGAGATAGCAGAGGCAGGCTCGGACACTGCCTCGGTGTCAGGAGGAATCCTGTCCTCTGTGAAAGGTGTTGATCATTCTGTGAACGGTGGCCAGTCCATGGTCGAGTACCTCTCACGTCGAGCTCAGCAGGTGGTGCTAGTGGGTATGGATAAGTTGAATGAGTTGGTGATGATGCTTCGGCGTTGGTTGTTTCAGATTGGAGTCAATCAACATGCCAATGTCCAGAATCATAACAATGACGATTCTCAAAGTGAGAGGTTTGTTGAGCATTGCATTTTGGAGCATGCAAAGGTCATCCTCTGTACCGTCAGTACTGCTGGACGTCAGGCTGTGATGCGATACGCTGAGGGGATCCAGACGGTTCTTATTGATGAAGCTGCGCAGCTCGCAGAGGCGGAGACATCGATCGTCCTACTCAGTCCTTTTCGCAACCATGTTATCCTCGTCGGCGATCCACACCAGCTTCCCTGCCTTGTGTCATCGAAGCTATCTGAAAGCTGCAGTTATGTGCGGAGTCTGTTCGCGAGATTGGAGGAGAATGGTCACCCGAAAAAGCTCCTCGACACCCAGTACAGAATGCACCCCCAGATCAGCTCCTTCCCAAGAGAGGAGTTCTATGGAGGAGAGGTGCAAGATGGACCGAATGTGGTTGCAAAGCATCCATGGAACTCACAGTGCTACCAGAGGGACATGTATGGGCCTTACGTGTTCGTTGACATCAAGGAAGGACAAGAAACAGCTGATGAGAAGGACAGTAAGTACAATGTGCTGGAGATAGAGGCTGCGGTTCGTATCGTGAAGAAACTGGCCAACCTTTGGTTGCGCAATGCACAGACATCAGGTCTTCTTGACATAGGGGTCATAACACCGTACAAGGCACAGATGGAAAAACTTGCTGTAGCATTGGAGAGATCGGGATTGAACTCGAAGTTCGTAAAGCTGAAAGGGAAAGGATGCAGAGTTGAGATTGAGGTGAAGACTGTCGATGGATTTCAGGGTAGGGAAAAAGGTGTAATTCTGTTTTCTGCTGTCAGGGCAAACCGGCATGGCGAAATCGGTTTCCTGAATGACAGACGCCGCCTCAACGTTGCCATGACAAGAGGGAAGTATGCTGTTTGGGTGATTGGTAATGCTCGCACACTTGCATCAAAAACAGGGGTGTGGCGAAATTTGGTCGAAGACGCAAGGAGAAGGGGGTGTTATATGGACGCGTTTGATGACGTAGACCTGAAGAAAAGCATCGTCCAAGCAAAGATGAAGGAAGACCGGCTAATGGACCTCCTGAACCCTGATGCATCACTCCTTCAGAATGCAGTGTGGGAGGTGAGAATTCATGGCTCTATCAAGAACTCTGGATGATTGACCCCAGCCCTTTCATCACAAGCGGTTAACAGGGACCCCACTTTTCAGCCCTGTGAAAACCCTGAAAATTTAGGGGGCTGTTAACCGCTTCTCCTTCCAATTTAGTGATGGTGCATGCTGTCTTTCTGGCAACTGGGCAACATGGCATGGGAATCCTGCATGCTATATACGACAGCATGTCTCCACAATATACTCCACTCAGTCCTCGATATCCAATTGTCAGGCAATAGCCCATCATCCATGGTCTACAGTATCAGTCCCTTTCAGTCAGGGCAGGCCTCTCTTTGGGTGTCCTGAACTTTCCTCGTTTAACTTTTTCGGACTTCTTTGGTGTCCGTGCGGCCTTCAGATAGATGGTGCCAAAAATCTCTTCCCCAATGCGATTGTTTCTTAATATGGGAAGTTGGGAACATTGGGTTCCATTTCTCGATTTATGTGTGTGCAGCGGCCATGCTGATCTTCTCTGTATCATTCAAGTTTTGACAGATGTCGCAAAGGAAACCCAAGTCCAGGTGTAGGAGCGCTGGAAAAGGCAGTGGGAGCTAAATCACATGCCAAATTGTGAATGCTAGAAACTTTGGAGCTCTTAGGGCAACCGAACAGCTTATAATTAGGGTTAACTATGCTAGGATAAAATAATCATATTATTGAGAGAGTGAGGGTGCTTATGGCAGCTTCGGTCCACCTAAGGGGTTAAAAGGCTATAAAAGCACAGTTTGGGTGAGAGACCACGAGGAAGGGGCAAGGGGGGCAAGGGGGGCTAGGGGGAGAGGTGGAAGGAGAAGCGAAACGGGAAGGGAAAGGTGGAGAGGGAGATCTATAAGAGGTAGTGGCGGCAGCAGCAGTGGGAGGGGTGGCAGCAAGGTGGAGAGGGAGATGTAGAAGAGGTAGTGGCATCAGGAGCAGTGGCCGCGGTGGCAGCAGTAGTAAAGGAAGAAGAAGAAGAAGAAGAAGAAGAAGAAGAAGAAGAAGAAGAAGAATATCCGTTTAGAGAAACTGAACACCATATGCAAGCCTGGTTAGCTAAAAAAAAACCTCCTCCTGATAGTCCCACAATTCGTACTCTCTCTGTCTCTGTACCAGTACATGTCTTGTCTCCTTCATGCGATAACAGTCTGTCATCACTTTGTTCTACCTCTTTTTCCTGACTTTCATCGTGGTATAACTACGTGATCCAGCCTTCAATCAATTTCTTTTCTCATATGTCCTTCTCCTCGTGAACACTAGGAGTATGTTCCTTTTCTTTGCTCTTTTTCATCATGTGTACATGCAGGTCGACTCAAACGTTCCTCCTCCCCTCTACCATCCAGCAAAGCTCGCTGGTTTCTCCGTATGACGATTTCAGCATTGCTTCCATATTTGGCCGATCAGCGGGTGATTTTGGTAGGGTATTTTCTTTGAAAATTTTGACTGGTCTAGATAATGTCAAGCGTACCTTTCCTCTGTATGAAAGCATTAACTGTATGTGTCAGCATCTTCCTTGGGTACCAACATATCCTTATGTTTTCTTTTTTTTGGGCTTCTGTTAGAAACAAACTTACTACATATATGTACTTGGTGTCGTATGTATTTGCAGGCATTCTATGCAGGGGTTTTAACATCTGTAATGGTTGTCGATAGTATGATTTGTCTCTGTACAAGGAACTGGACTGGTGCTCCCCAGAATAGATAGGAGTCAGAATAGAAATGGACTGAAAGGTGTCCTCCTTCGGGACATCTATTAAAATTGGCACGATAGTTACGATACAGAGAAGATTAGCATGGCCCCTGCGCAAGGATGACACGCGTAAATCGAGAAATGGTCCAAAAAAAAAAAAGAAAAAAAAAAAAAAAAAAAAAGAAGGAAGGATACAAGTCTTACCTGTGAATTAATCCTCCTTTTAGTAAGCACCGAGCTGTAATCGATACTGGCAAGGAGCTCCTTCGGCCATGATGGAGTGTTTGAGTATGATGCATTTGACTTCTGATTTTCTGGTGGGAAAATGAATCGCACTGACACTCCCCAGAATGGAAAGGAGCTCGATAAGGCCCTGTTGATAAGAAAAACAGTAGAATGCCAAAAAGAAGAAAAAAGAAAAAAGGAAGAAGAAGACAGAAGAAGCAAGAAGAAAAGAAGAAGCTAGAAGAAAGAAAAAGACAACCGGACGATATGATAGGCACCTAGGGTGATGCACCATACACCATCGGTACTGCATAACGCAGCCAGCAGTTCATTCCGGGTTGATTAGCTAACTGCATTTAGAAGAGGGAAGAAGAGGCAAGAAGACGACAAGTGAAAAAAAGTGCCCACCATTGCTACTGCACAAACACAGTCAGAAGTCTTTTTCCTGATTGACCAGCGCATGATGTTGTCTCCTCTTGTTGATCATTGCACTGCCTGCTTGTAGGTGGTTATTAGCAGGGATTTTAAAGAGATGATGACAAGGCAAAAGAAAGTTGAACAGCGTACGAAGTTGTGTGCGTTGGATTTCATTGTGAGGCTTGCAAATGGAGTACGACCGAAAAGGCTTACCACGAGCGTCTCCCGTTCGTTTCCTCGCTTGCTCCGTTCACATCCCATTGGCGACTACTGCTTACTGTGGTCCACTGATGTCAAGCATGCCGTCAACAGATTTCGGCAAGTGATCAAAGTCTGGCACTTCGTTCACCGGAAAATGTTTCCCAAGGCCGTGAGTCATATTGAGTCCGCTCTACGTCTGTGCACAAAGGAGTACATTGATAGGTGTTTGGAGGTCCGAAAACATCGGGATGCAGATCCTGCCTTACCCGTGGATTGGCCACCAGATGCAAATTTCAAGTGGTACAAAAGCGCGGATAAGGACACTTGCGCATCTGAACCTGGTTGGGTTAAGGACCACAAGGGTCCAGATATTTTGGATGACTATGTGTTATCCATGAAGTTCTATGCGCTGAGCAGTGGAGTCATCCGTCGACTGCTGACCACTGAGGACGGCTCTGATCTTGAGCTTCCGTTTGCCATCAGCGAACAACAGGAGAGGGTTGCGTCTGCAATGGAAAGTGTGTTTATAATCGGTAGAAGTGGAACGGGGAAGACAACGGTTATTGCTATCCGGCTAATACGGATGGAACAAATATGTGCAGAAGTCAGTGGAAGCAAATGGATTACACAGGGGGATTCTTCTGTCCCGGAGGGGCATGACTTGGAATCCAAACGCAAACTGAAGGTTTCCATTTCCAGAGGGAGAATTCCATCTGAAGACAATACCTTTTTGAGGCAGATGATCATCACAGCTAGCCCGAAGCTGTGTGCTGCCATACGGAGGTATGTAACAGAGCTGAGGAGATCATTGGGCTTGACAGAAAGTGATACGATCCCTGCGAATGGAGCCAGAGGAAGTGACTTCGAGGCCAAAGAAGACCAGAGTCATGACAGACTGCTGGACACCGAAGAAGAGAGATCATTGATGGGCGATGTTCCTGACACCTTCATTGGCTTGAAGCAGAACGTCTTTCCTCTTGTTATAACTTTCAGAAAGTTTGTTTCGATGTTGGATGGAAGCATATCACGATCATTCTTTGACTCTGGCAACAGGCTTGCAGAAAAAGGCTCATCTGTGAAAAAAAATGGTGGTGGTGAGTGGACAGAAGGATGTAAGACATCATCATTCTGGGAAAGGGATAATAGTGAGCAGGAGAAGTATGGTGGTGACGATGATGATGATGATGATGATGATGATGATGATGATGATGATGATGATGATGGTGACGACGACGATGATGATCATGATGACGACAACGACGTTGATGATGATGGTAATGATTTGTCAGAGTGTGGTGACTGTGAAGACCATCCTGGTGCTGGAAGACAAAAGAAACATTTAGAATCAGGATGTGGGAGGTTCGCTAGAGGGTCCCGACACCATTCTCGCAGGTGTGGCGATCGTTATAGACTGAATACTGAGGTGGACTTTGTACGCTTTCGAGAGGTATACTGGCCTCATATTGAATTCAAACTTTCCAGGCAGTTCGATTCATCTGTGCTGTTCACAGAGATCATGTCGACAATCAAAGGCAGTCTGTCGGCGATGCAAGCAGAGAAAGGCAGATTGTCAGCGGACATGTATCTAGAACTGGCCTGCAAGAGGGGATCTAGGTTTGACAGGCAACAAAGAAGGTCTCTGTACACAGGCTTTGAACTTTATGAAAGCATGAAGCAGCAATTCAATGACTATGACCTTGCAGATCTTGTGAGACATGTGTACATTCATCTGAAGGGAGGCGGATATAGTGGTGTAAACATGGATTATGTCTATGTGGATGAGGTGCAAGACTTCACTGAAGCACAGATAGCGTTGTTGAAGTTTGTGTGCCGGCATCCTGAGTCAGGGTTTGTAATGGCCGGCGATACAGCACAAACAATATCACAGGGTGTGAGTTTCCGCTTCGCCGGTCTGAAAGACTTGTTTTACCATATCTTCATGAAAAAGGAGTCTGCAGAGGAGCAGATGCTCAAGGAGGGAAACCATGATTCTTCTCTACATTCTGCAGCACCATTGAATCGCAATGCAGATGGAATGAATGTCTTGGCGGCCGGATGTGCGGGAGATGATTTCTCAAGCAGCGGAGTTATGGAAGCACCGGCGGACGGCGGTGCGGAGAAAGCAATTAGCGCTCGTAAGGCTGCACTGAAGAAAATTTTTGTGCCGGAACTGGTCCAGCTGACGATCAATTACCGCACTCATGGGGAAGTTGTGAAGATGGCCAACAGCATTGTAAAAATGATTGTCCACTTTTTCCCGTATGCCATCGACAAGCTGGAGGAGGAGACATCGCCTGTGGCAGGACCTCCTCCCATATTCTTGAAGACCGACAAGGGATCGGATTGGGTGGCACAGTTGTTTGGCAGGGGTTCGACGACAGTGAATGCTTGTGAATTTGGTGCAGAGCAGGTTATTCTTGTCAGAAGCCTTCAAGAGAAGGAGCAGCTGTTGAAGAGGGTAGGCAATGGTGCCCTAGTTCTCACAATACAGGAATCCAAGGGTCTGGAATTCCAGGATGTCCTGATTGTGAATTTCTTTTCCAACAGCTTGTTTCAAAGGTGGAGGCTAATTTATCGCTTTATGACAGAGACCCAAATCTCACCTCTTGGAGGGGCTGAACAGAATGATAGGCAATTTGCATGCCCAGAGTTCAATGAAAACCATCACTATGCACTGTGTGCGGAGTTAAAAATGCTGTACGTTGCGGTAACAAGAACACGCCATCGGCTGCTCTTCTTTGAACAGCGAGACGATGAGGCCAGTCCTATGCTTGCCTATTGGACTGCGATTGGGGCAATCACAGCGAAGGCACTAGATAACGATCTGGTAAATGCGCTCATGCAGAAGAACACGCCCGAGCAATGGATTAAGAAGGGAAAGGAGTTTTTCCGCGCAGGGATGTACGATTATGCAGAAAGTTGCTTCGAAAGAGCAGTAAGTAGCCGTCGGTAGCAATTCCACTGCTGGGTTTTCCTTTCTTACTGTGATGTTTCTGTTCCTAGGTGGTGGAAGATTGATTCAATTGCATTGCATCACAATGAGAATCACCACCTGGTTGGTGGATTGCCTCATCTCTCTGTCATGTTTGTGAGCACCGTTGACGATGCAATGTTCCATCGTGTTTGTGAATTCCATCCTGTTTGTCCAGCATGCAAAGCAGAACGAGAAGATGAAGATCATGTTCACATACTAGAAAAACTATTTAAGAGATGCAGAAGAAGGAGAGGGACTCGGGGGGAAAGCAATAAAGACTGGCTGGTGGGTTGATAATATTGTCGTTCGGGCCAATTGCCGCATATATTCACAGAACTTCAGATATGTGATAAGCTCTCTCACAGTGGTGTGAGATGTTTCCTCCGGGTTCTTTACGCCACATGCATTTTGAAAGTGTCGTCACTTTTTGTTAGCAATACTGCAAAAGCTGTCCATCATCCCTTACATCAAATGACACACTCGATGCATTCCGCTGTTATGAATAAGGGATGCTTTTTTTTTTTTAATGTGGCCCGACGGACCACGGATCAGATATTAAACTGATCAGAGCAGATACAGTGCACTTGATCTTGTATGAATGAATAAGGGATCCTGAGACAGCTAGATTCATTACTTCCTCTCTCAGGAAAGATGTACTACCGCTCCACCTCTGCTTCGTTGACCTTTTTTACCACTAACCTTGGTTCTAACTTCTAAGCGTACGCCTTTGCCAACCACACTGCCTCTTGATTTATATGTGAAGAACAGTTGGAGATATCCCCCTCAGTTCGCTCCTGTAGACTTTCAAAATTGCCTCTTGTACCCAGGACATCTGAGTCTGTACCCAGCTTCATTTATGCGAGTATTTTACTATTTTTCCATTCCTACGGCTAACAACCCAGCTCTACTCTCCCCTGTCTACTTCCTCCTCTTGTTCCTCTTGTCTTTCCCTGTGGAAAGACTTTTTGGTTGTTTTTCTTTTCGACAGTTGAATTGATCGTCAGTTTGAACCCACCCATCATCCGAGAGTAGGTGATTGTTCGCATTTTATGTCAAATGTTTGTGTTTGTAAAGAGAACGCAATGAAAACATCGAAATAATCTTAGTCATCGGAGTTCACACGGTCAAGACAAGAGAACTTAGAGAAGGGATCCCTCGTCAAAGCTCAAAAGGGGTCCCTCGTCACGGTGCACTTAATGAAGGCAAAAGAGGTGATCTCTCGATAAGAGGGGGCGGGGCCAGGGTCAGAGCACATCCCAAACCCTCCTCGTCTCTCCCCTTCCGTTCCCTTTTCTCCACCCACCTCCCCATCCTTCCCATGGGGGATCTACCAATCTTGCGAATCCCTGCCTCACCCACCTTGGAAATTTACGCCTTTGTCCCACATCCCACAAATGCCTCCCTGTATCCTCTGTCCACCGCTTGTACTCAGCATATAATCATTGCCCTTCTCACAGACTGCCCCTGGCCATCATCCATGGTAAAGTAGAGTGGGAGGTGATGGGCAGGACAACCCTGTATCAAAACCTCCCCCCCATGCCCAGCCCCTCTCCAGGTCAGAAGCGGACCGTCCTGTCCACTCTCTTCCAGCTCAGCCCGGTGATTACGTTACCTGTTGTCGGGCAATTCTTCCCATGTGATTGTAGTAGATCAAACCTGCACCTACCTTGTCTTGTTTGCTTTCCCCTCGCCGACCCAAAGTCTCCATGGCTTGTGCAGGGGAGACGGTAGTGCTGCACATAGTAAGGTTTTCCTCAAAGCTGAAGAACTCTCTTTCTGACCCTGCTCTGAACCCCACGCTCAACTCCCCCATCCGTCCAAAGCACTCTCTGAGATTGCCAGTTACCTGTGCCCCTTCTAAATCTCCATGGCCAGCTCCATGTCGTCCAAGAGTCCCTCCCCCTCTTCGGCAAGTCTCCAAATAGAGGTGGCCACCCTCTTGGGTCGTAATTGCCAACATCCCATCCAGCTGTTGTCTGTTGATTGCCACAACCTCTCCTGCCTGTATGCGAGGAGACATTCACATACGGTCCGGGAAAGGCTCTCTGATGCCTGCCTATCTATGAAGGCGTCAGTTATGCTATTTCACTCTAAGATTTAGTTAGTTGGGTAGCCTTTGCAATATTTTTGTCCATTTTTGTGGCCTCGTCACCTGCTGTTAATGGAGGCCGCCCCCTGTGCAGGCTAGGAACATGGACGCTGCTCCCAGTCTACTGTGTGTGGCCTCATCACCTTTTGCAATATTTTGACTACCATTACTGGAGGTGCTGTTAATAGACATCCAGTTGTGTGGCCTCGTCACCTTTTGCAATATTTTTACTCCACAGCAAATCTCTACCATGGCTCCGCTTTCTTTGTGCTGATAAACTATACCATTACTCCCTGCCTCGCAGCTACTTGGAGTGCCTGACTCATCAGCACCTCGTCTGATATGGAGTGGGTCGTGTGCCCTAACTGATTGTCACATCCTACGTCATGGCACGGTCTGTCATGCAGAGGCAGGCGGACCCTGCCAGCTGTGGCCATGCATAGTATCAGCACGTCCATTGTCATCAACCTCAGTCCTAAAGGTTATGAGAGTCGGCAGGCAGATGGACCCTGCCAGCTGTGGCCATGCATTGTCTCCGCGCGTCCATTATCATCAACCTCAGTCCTAACGATTCTGAGAGTCGGCGGGGGGCAGCCTCACGCATAAGGCCATACATCCTCTCGCTCCTGCCACAGACAACATTCATATGCAATCTATGACTTGTTAGGTTTCATTTCACCACCATCCCATACTTGGACGCGAAGATCGGCTGGTAGACTCATCCTCAATCTGCTCAATCTCCCTTCATCCCATTTCTTTTTTTCTGGCAGAGGAGAGGCTAGAACTTAGAACTTTAGAAGGGTTTTTTTTTTTTTTTTTTTTTTTTTTTTTTTTCCAGGCTGGAAACGGGGTCCAGCGTCCCTTACATCTGTTGTACTCACTCATCCCATGTGCAATTTTCATTTTTGATTGGTGTCCGCCGTGATAATGCAGGGAGACTATTTAATATTTATTCTATTTGGTCAAGAGATCCTGAGACAGCGGCATTGGTTACTTTCACAATGGAAGGATTTACGATGGATCTTCTTTTCTTTTTTCTTTTTTTTTTGTTTCCCTGCTTTTCTAAAATTAGTAAATTACTGTGTCAGCTAGGTCTTAATCCGATCTTGACAGGATTGGTTGCTTCCCTTTAAAATGATTGACTGTCAGATCGAAATTTTTGCATTTTATACTTTATTAGCTCAGTTGGTGCACCCATGAACTGTTGAGATACAGGCCCAAGTTCAATTCCAGTTACTGTCAGATGAACAGAATGAAATCATTCTGAATTACCTGGAGCTGGTCAGTTTGAATAATGATATCTTAAAAAAAAAGTTTATTCCCTTAAATCTTTCCCATGCTATATCTATCTAATCATTCTAATGTCTAGCTGATGAAATAAGCTGACCATCTGAGCCATTCCTCTCAGTCAGCTGAAATGGCCTGCCAGCAGTGCCAGCAGTGCCAGGTAACCTCTTTCATAATTTTGAATTTGCTTGGTGCCCCTTCTGCCTATATGGTTGAATCTTTCCTGAAATGGAACCTGAGGTAAGATATGTTCTTCTGGCCATGCTTTATGCTGATTGATCACTGCTCTGTCTCTGTTAAAGAGTTCTTCCGTTCCTGGGTATCCACCGCTGGAAAATGGGTTTAGCACCCCCTAAATAGCTCTTCTTTCCCTGTCGTTTGTAAGGACAGGAGTATGGCTCCTCCTCTCGGCTTGTGCAAAGGCTGTCAGCTGTTGTCTTCGTACTTATGAGCTAGTTTGAAATTTCACGTTATCTGTGTCTTGGGCTGTGATTCCGATTGACAAGGGATCGTTTTGTGTTACCTTCTCCCTAATTTTTTTATTTTTTTTTAACATCATTCAGGGCCAAAACCTCTGTCGTCAGGGTGGTAAGAGCCCCGGATGATAGAGGCCGGCAAGGTAAGATGGCTCCATCTATTCGTGGGGAGCGACATGTGCTCGAAACCGGGTCCAGCGTCTGTCATTACATCATCGATATGGAGAGAAAACCAATACCAGAGCACCGTGCAAAGAGAGGAAGCCTCTTCAACCAATTAGGGTGCCAAAAAGTACCCTAAAGCGCAAGCACTCCAGCTCATTACAAGGGAAACCGGTCTGAATACTCTAAGAGACGGTCTTATTTATGCTATGCTGTTACAAGTCGGGCCTAGGTAATTCGTGTCAGTGGATTAACCTCAGAATTCCACAGAATTCGCCACACGGCACAAGGTGCAGGAGGAGAAAACAGATTCCAAGGTTGAGAGACGTATATCAGGTATCCCCCTGCGGGGGACAAGACCCATTCTATAAAATCACCTTACGAACTCTAAACTAAATTGGTGCTTACTGTGGAGTCGCACATGGTCGTCACTCCGAAGCACTACGGAAGGCTCAACAATCTTCCCCTCAAGATAGTCGAATGGCGCAATGGTGTTGGACACCATCACGGTCTCCTTCACAGTTCTCAACGCCGTCTGGATCGCAAACCTCGTCTTGATCGCTTGCTCTCAATCTTGAACACGTTTCTGAACCACAACACGAACACAATCTTGAAGCCAAAGCCCTTCGATGACATATAACCCAGGCTAGGTCTTGTTGCACCTTGTCTTCCTTCTTGGGAAACGGAGCAACAGCGTCCTTTTCTAGTGGCGAGCCACAATAGAGAAACAACTCCCATTTCCATGGGAAGGGCGCGACAAAGCTCGCGCTTCATTTCGGTATGTTCGGCGGTTCAATGAGAAGCATGCCAGCGGGCACGATTCAGTTCTTGGGATCTTGAACCCAAGCACAGTCGGATACAGAAGCCACTCCCCTTGCTAAAGATATATCCTCTTCCACGCCTTTGCACCACCATCCTCCCATCCCCGGGGGACAAACCCCGCCCTC